CAGCTTTTCATCCACTAGTGCCCCAAGTCCTTCTCAGCAGGGCTGCTCTCAATCCCTTCACCCCCCAGCCAGTATTGATACAGGAGGTTGCCCTGACCCAGGTGCAGTACCCTGCACTAGGCCTTGCTGAACTTCATGAGGTTCACACAGGCCCGCTCCTTGAACTTGTCCAGGTCTGTCTGGATGGCATCCTGTCCTTCTGGCATGTCAACTGCACCACTCAGCCTGGTGTCATCTGCAAAACTGCTGAGGGTACTATAGTATAAACTCTCCCTCTTCTAAGCAAAACATAGAGAAAAAAACAGCATTCTGATCCCTCTGCTAGAAGGGGCAACCTTCACTTTCTTTACCTGAAGCTCCTTCATACACAAACTAAAGGTAATTGTACACTTAATCACCTCCTCTGGATATTGTGAAAACTACTTAATGTTTAGGAAGCACTGACACAGATGAAAAGTACTTAAATAAGTGTTAAGCATTATCAGATAGCATTATGTTGCCCTCACTTAAATTGTTTTCCTCTTCTCATTTAAGTGCCTTCGATCCACTCCTGTTATTTGACTCCCCATGACTGAACTTTCTTCTGTGTGACTTAAAAAAAAAAAGTTAAATTGGACTCCAAGTTCTAGTGTTATTTAAAGATTATCTGCTGTGCCACATATTTAAACAGCAAGTATAGTTGAGTAATTTCATCCCGGAACCAATAATTTTTTTCAACTAAAAATTAGCTTAGTAGGTACTAATCAGCTTGCAAGGCAAATATAATGGGAGAAAATCAATTTAAACTCTCTGTTTGAAGCTTGTGCCAGGTCATTATACAGGAAGACTAATCTGCTAAATAATTAAGGCTCTGTATTTGTGGAGTGAGACGAAAGAAACATTACAAGTGAATAATAATTCTGTGCTGCCGTTTGACTCTCTAATCTATAATTAGACTAGTACTTCAAATATAGATGTTAGTCTGACTAAGGTTTAATACAGAGCCAGCGGAATGGGCTTTCTGAAAAAGCACCTGATCTGTGCCAAAGAAAGTAGAAACAGAGTCATCCCCTTTGGACGTGATCTCTGGTTAGAAGTCAGCCTTGCCTCTGCTGACTGAGCAAAAGGAAAGGATGTTAGGAGCAAGCAGCTTCTGTAACAAAGCACAGGCATCCTTATTAAAAATAAATCACTGCAGTAACAGCTTCAAGCTGATCTCAGTATCTACTAAAAATTCGAGTATTCTCTGTAAAACACTGTTTGCATTTCATGGCCTATGTAAGGATGTGCTACTTGCCACGTCAACGCGTGTACTGCATTTCACAGTTTTGAAAGACTTAAACATAGGACCCCATTTTGGATCAAAACACTCCTCTTCCTACAGACAGAGATACTTTCAAATCTGACTGGCCAATGAGGCACACTGTTTCATAGGTAAGTACACAGTAAGTACACTGACAGAATTCAATGCCCATGAAAATCAGGACAATTATGTGTGTTAGCAAACAAACTTCTAACAGTTTTGTGAGGTAGAGACAGAAGATACAGTAAGTGGGTTCACTTACTTTTCTTGGAGAAGAGTTTCTTTCTCCGTCCGACATGGCTCAGCTTGTATTCGTTCTCTTCACAATTGCAGTCTTCGCTATTCCTGTTGTAATACTTGAGCAAAATATTGGAGGTGCCTTTGCTGTTGCCTGCAGCTGCCAAGTTCGCCATTCCCTTGCACTTGTGTAGCTTGAGCTTTCCACTGGCATCTTCCACACACTGCCATTTCTGGAAGAAATATTTGGTCATTAAACCTCTGTCCCAACTGTGCTTCGTCTAATGGCCAGCTCCCGCGATCTGTCAGAGACTCCTTCTTGCAGTAAGGTGGGGCTCATCTATCACCTAGTACCAAAACAGAATTTTTGTAATCTTCCATTTTCAGACAAAACAGGAACTCTTTGGAACACTCTTGCATTTGTTTCTGATCTTGTTTCTTGGAGGCAGACCAAGGGGAATTTCTTAACAAAATCAATACTACAGCTAAAACCACAGAGGTGACAAGTGACAACTTTCAGAAGTGTAACTGTGGCATAAACCAAGGATGTTCAAGCCTTATCCACAGGTTTGAAAAGAATCCTTGCCTACCAGCAAGTGTGTTTGTCAGGCTGGCACAAATCCACGCCACTAAAACAGCACCAGGCTTCAGGCCTGCATATAATCTCAGCCTCATCCCATACTCTACCAGAAGGTAAAGAACTTTTCGGAGAAGTCTCTTTCTCTTTCCTAGTTCAAATGCCTGATGGTCTGAGGATTTTATCTGAGTTGTGGATTCCTTTACTGCAAAGTAAAAGTCTGAGCTGATTACCTAGACTCATTCTACAGTCAGAGCAGAGGAACAGCCACTTCCAGGGCATAATTCACTTCATCCTAAACTGGCCAGACAAAAGAGGTAAGAAAAAGGAGTGCCTTGCAGAAGTGCCTGTTTCTCTCATTGACCTTTAAAAGGGTTGGTATGACTGGATCAGCTATGGAGGTCTGTAGTAAAATGAGTTTATCTCCATCTTGAGTGTCTCTCAATAGCTTCCTCCTTTCAACACCCCTGGGCTTGACTAGCAATGGTGAGCTGCACTGGATGCCTGTGAAGTAAGAAACCCCGCCCTCTTCCACTCAAACCAGAGAAAATCTAATCTCTAATCTCCAGTTCCTTCTGCTACTCAAAACCTGAAGTAACTTGCTTATAGCTCCCTTTGTGCTGCTGTCAGGGCTGTGCCAAGGGCAAGGGAGTTTGGCCATCTTCAATCTGGCGCTGAAGTTTTACCCACTTCCCAGATACCTTCTGAAATTATTTCACCTACTCCTTTATTTACCAACACACTATTAGCTACAGAGCTAGGCTTTGAGATACATAAAAAAAAAATCTCACAGTAGCAATTGCTACTGTTTTAAATAGAAACTCTCGGAAACACTTCAGCTTTTTGCTGAGTCTTGAGAGGCGTTCCTCTTTTTCTCTATTACAAAGTCCTAAGTCTGTGCCTCCAGGACTCACTTGAATATTGAGAATTTTCCAAATAAAAGAACAGAAGGAAAAACAGCAACAGCTCCCAAGTGAGATGACATTTTACATCAGCCTGCAGCTCTACGAGGGAGATTCAGTCACTTCAGTTCCCACAGAGCGGTGCGTCCAGGCTAGCACAACGAAGTCTACATTTTTCATTGAAATTCACTCCATTGTCTGCATGGCAGCTAAGTAAGAAAACAGTATCATCGTGGTTTTATAATACAGAATTTAACAGGAATCAGAAGTCAACTGGCCAGTAACAGTAGATTTAACTATGTTCACGGCAGACTCTCTCATCCAAAACAATGAGAGTTCTATGGTGTGTCCACTTATTTCCTCAACCAAATGGATGCCAGGTCTCCTGAGCTACAATTACTTCTTAGATACCGTGTCCAGCCTCCTGTATGATCCAAACCTTGCACTGATACAGATAAACCTGGCTTAACTTTCAGCACAAGGAATCATAGGAAATCAGTGAGAGATACTGACAACGGTAAGACATTTGAATCAGACATCTTTGTGTGACTGTCTTCATCTGTAAAGCAGGACACATTCACCTAGATGGGGTGTACAACAAAAATAACTTCTGAAGAATAAATTGCTGAGTCTTTTTTTCATTATTTTTTATAAATACTTAACTTTGATGCACAGACTGAGGTTTCAAATAAAAGCTATTTTACCAGAAAAGCAATAGTTTCTTTCACAATGAAAAAAAGATGTAAAATGTTTGTTGCTGTTTCCCATTTCAACTGAATCTTATTTCTGAAGTTATATGAACAAACTGCATTTTCTACTCAGTAAAGCTCTACGCTGTAGGTGTCTGATATATGAAAAATGAAGATTCAACAGAGGGCAAGTTAAATGCCATGATGAGAGCTACTGCAAATAAGAGCTCTGATGTGTGGCCCAAAAATATTTTTTTCTCTATTTCTTTCATCTCCTGTCAAGAAAGTGCTGTTCATTTTTCCCCAGGTGAACTGGAAAAAAGCCTTTAATTTTTGGTGCAGTTTAAATCTTTCCAAGGCAGCTGTATGATACAGTGAAAACATCTTAAAGGTTTGCTGGAAGGGCACATTGTAAGCATGAACAGCCCACTGCTGAATGACTGCAGTGCAGAACTACGTAAATGAATTTAGAAGCAAACATTGAACACAGGTGGGGGGCAAGGGGGAAGAAAATTCTCAAGCTTTTACTTTCTTTCCCAAAACAGATATAGGCATGTGTGTGAACGTGGCTGGGATTCAACAACTTACCCTTGGTCTGCTTGTAAGTACAAACACAAACTCTCTAGGTCAATATCACAGCTATATCAGTTACAGTGTAATTTCCACAGAATGCTTTCAAATTCAGGGAAAAAGGGCAGTAATTGCAAGGGAGCTGCGAGAACCTCTGCTTGACAGTCAAGAAGCTTTAAACATTGTGAGTTCTGGCATTTTAAATTGGTTTCTAGTGCACAGCATACCATCATGCAGAAACCTGTGTCAAACCCTGGAAGCAACTAAAATGCTTTATGAGAGGTAATCACTTAAATAATTAAATCCCTACATGAAGAACTCCAGAGTGCCCCAGGGATACTTTGGCTCACAGGTACAAATGATAACCACCCAGCAGCAAGACATAATTACTATAAATAGTGGATTAACTCAACCAGTCAAGAAAACAAAGTGCCCTTGGTTCACCAATTGCCCCTAACTTTTCAGGTCTTTTCTTCATTAGATCAAAAGATGTGTTCCTAATTCAAGTTCTACAGCTTGTAACATCTCACAAGAGCTAAGTCCTGAAAGGGAGGGCAGTTTTAACACAAACTAGAAGTCAGTGGAAAACCCGGACTCCCCCACAATCTTCATCCCAACTTATAGCAAAAGTCCAAAGGAAGAACCTGTTTTTTCTCCTGCAAAGCCTTGCAGAACAGCTACTCAAGCCATCAAATAAATGGCTTTTGCAATACATCCTGAAGTCCATCAAGCTCACATTACACAAAACTTTCCAGACACCTCATTTAATCATTAAAGCTGTTCCAGCTGGAGATTTCCCACCATCTTCGGGGAGGGCAAGTTAGCTGCTGTGCTTGTGCTCTCTGCCACCTACTGCGCTGGGCCTGTTCTAACACTTCTACTCCATCCCCTGCCCCAGCTCCCACTGCACAGCACATGCTACTCCGTTACTTGTGTGCAAAGCAGAAGAATCTGGGCTTTAGTTTAATGGAGAAATTAGTGCTATTGAACAGAAATCTTCTTCAAAGGTATACTGCAAAGGTAAAAGAGAAGACAGATTGTAATGTATATTCTGCCCTCCAGCCTAAACTACCTGCTATGTGTATCAACAAGAGTAAATTAGGACTTCAGTATATATGAAACACGAATCTCAACAGCAGCAGTTGTAGACTGAACAGATGCCCTGTTTCTCTCCAGTAACACTATTCACCTTGAACATGCAAATGACCCCTTCACAGAAAAAGACATGTTGTATCTTTCTGTGTCAAAAACCCATTATCTCCTTCACAGCCCCCATTATCATGAAGTGGTTTCTGTATTACTGTGCATCAATGTCTTCTTACCGCTACAGCAATCACAGATGTTAATTCAAAGTCATTACTTGAGGCCCCAATCAGAAATAAATAGCCATGACCTTCCCTGTAGGATTTTTTCCTACAATTCACTCATTTCCCTCAGTGAATCTCTCTCAATTGACACTGTTTTCTTTGGGGGAAAAGGGCTGATCACACAAGCCTTGCTAAGAAAAGATTCCAGTTGAAGCATACAGCTTGCAGAGCCGAACCCTAAATCATCATGCTGTGTCTCATCAACTCCTCTTTTTGTTAAGTGAAAGAGATTCCATTCCCTTTTACAGAGAAGTGAAAAGTGAAACTGTCTGATCAGTTAGCTGCCAGCAACGCTCCCTCCCCAACAGTTTTAGGAATACAGGCTCTAGGAATCAAAGTTTCTGCAAGATAATAAAGTCCTCTGTCCCTGCCAGCAACCTGACAAAAACATCTCAGCAATATCCATCTTTAGTTTATGTGGATGTTTTCTGAACCCCAGCCTTCCTGCCCCATTGGATGGTGAGTTAGAAACGAACTGCTTTAATGGCTAGAAATACTCTTAACTTCCAGTCTAAACTGATTTATGAGTAATCAGGATACATTTTTTTCTTGTATGAAACAGTACAGTTACAGCTTAGTTAGTATGAAAATTGAAGTTACAGTTTAGTTAGCTCTTGTCCTTTGCCATGGATTGCTCCTTGTGTGATTTTTTTATTGGACAAAGAGCAAAATCCAGAGAGATATGCAAGCCCCTTCTCTACAAGAGGTAGTTCTACTGCTTTTGCTGGCGGTTTAACCTACTGCTGAGATATTACAGGTTTCAGGAAAAGTCACCTCGAATTTCCCATTGTTCGTCTCCTACACAATGCTATTACTCTGTTCTTGTTGACTGCAAATACTTGGCTCATGTCTTCTGTATAGCTTCTCTTAGAATCATGCAGACAGATTCCTCTCTCAGTTATTTTTTTGACTGAATATGCCCAGTTCCTTAGATTTTCTCCTCAGGTATTATTTTCTTAATCTTTTAACATTTTTGTTGGGGCTTTTTTTGGTGTCCCTTCCCCCAATTTATCCATTGGCAAAGGACGAGTCTAAATTGCTCTATTTCATGTCATCAGTATATCAACAGCATGCCTGGTCCTCATTCCAACTGGACATTATTTCATTACACTGGCTCATGATGTTTGG